ATTTTTTTTTTAATTATTTTAAAACTAAATATTTCTTATTAGCATTTCTAGCCATTTTTTTCTTATTTTTTAATGAAAAAAATCTATTTTTCTGTTAATGTTTTCATGAATATTTTTCTAGTTAATATTTTTGAAATGATTTGATTTAAACATTTATTTTATTTTTTAATAATAAATAAAATGAAATTTAATGTTAAATGGTGTTATTAGTGATAAATGGCAATTGGCGGGGTAGGGGTGTTAGCAATTACTAATTTTTTTGCATATTTACTATCTACAGGGAAATGGTTAACAAACTATTTGGCAATATTATTTTTATGGCAGGGTAGGTTTGGAACAAGCTAATTAAATTTACAAGAACAAATATTTATTTTTGAAAAATTAATGTGATTTTTTGTTCAAACAAGCGGTGTTGGGGGTAATACATTCTAGAACTCTAAGAAAAATGTGGAAAAAGGAAATCAAATATTAGAAATTGAAAAGGCACACAAAATTATCTACTAAATTTGAAAAATAAAAAAATTAATAATAATAACAAAATAAACAATTTTACAGTAAAGTCGGAATGACAAAGAATATAACTATATATAGAATTATTTCTTAATCTGCCATCTGCAAAATATTGTGCCAATCGGACAAATAAAAATGGGAGCTATAGCCAAATTTGAATAAATTTCAATAAAAAGTCATTCTAACTCAAATTCAGTACAATATGCTAAATTTCGTTTGGATGCATTTAGAGGCTTTGTTTCACCATATATAGGAAATCGGACGAAATTATATATGGGAACTATATATTAATCGAAGTCGGTTAAAAACAAATTTACCACAAGTCATTCCAGACTTCCAATTCGGTTGTCTCTGCAAGATTTCTGTCTACAGAAGACAACTTCTGTCCATAGAATGCACATTTTTGTCGTATCAATGCGATCGTGGTGATTCTAAAGAAGGTTAACTGATCGTCAAATCCAACGAAGTTGTTCATGGAAGAATGTCCACCTGTTTTTCAGTAATAGTGGACGACTGTTCCGATTGAGCAACGTAGGAGGTAAATTTCAATGGTACAGATAATTTTATTTCCTATAAGACAAATAGAGTTTAGATTCTACGCCTGTAGGATCGTATTGTGATTTGCAAGACCAAATGAAGTTGTAGTTCCCGGTTCTTTAATAAAAGGTCTCAGTACCGTCTTTCCTGCTAGCGGAAAGCAATCTGTATGAAAACAGATACCAGTGCGTATTTTTACTGGTGTTACGCTAGCCCACGAATATCAGTCCGGTATCAGAGTTTCACAAGATGTGACTCCTCTTGCTTCTGGTATTTTCGGTCTTACTCAAAATTGCCGATTGAAGATCCTTCTACGAGTATATTCTTTGAGGACGCAAATTCTAGAGTTAAATAATCCCCATTGGATTCGTAGCAGTACAGATCGATGGGGCCTCTCTTTGTAGCAAGTGGCCCATCATTTTATTATTTAATCCATCGACTATTCTCGTCGATCACTGCATACCGGACGTATAATGTCGCCTGGCCTTCGCGAAAAAGGTTGACTCCAGTTGACGCCAACCTCTTTTTGGTTTTCAAGTTACGGTTAGTTTTTTGGGATTCCCAGTCTTTAAGGGTGTTTCCGATACACCGCTTCTATTCTGAATAAAAGTTTCCAGTCAGGTTTCTCTTTATATCAGCGGAAGAGAGTTTGGCACTATTCTCGTCGATCACTGTCGTCGTCTCTAAAGCGCCCTCTTGCTACCCTCTTCCTCTTGTTTAAAATCCGGTTAGACCTCTTAGGATTTCTAGTATTTAATATTTCGTCTATCTGCTGAATATTACAGCCGCCCTCAGACGATGGATTCTCCTGGCAGTCTCATTTAACTTTTTGGGATGACTCATTTTTTTGGGATTTACATTCGTCTGCGATTTCGGTGATCTTCCTTTTTTGAAAAATTCCGATGCAGTGCTCGTTTTCTGAACATACGACCTCCTTTAACTTTTATGAGATGGCTCAGTATTCTTTTATATTAGCCGTAGGGATGTATTTTCTTTTTTGCTGGCATTCGTTTGTGTGAATTTGAGTTTGAGTCTCCGTCTGTCTCGGAAGGTTGGGGTCGAAATTGCTGTTCATACTTGTTTTTTTCGATGCTTATGTCTTTGCTCACTTCTTCCACCATCTTACCTGCCACTTCCCTAATCCGGCATTCATAGACGGTTTGTTGGTCTTACTCTTTAGAATCGAAATTTGAGTCCACGCCTGTCTCAGGCGGTTTTTTGAGTATTTATACCCTTTACCAATCTGTGGTACAGGGTATTATGTCTTGGTGCATGTGTTTGTAACAGGCAATAGGAAACGAGATAGACACATGGTTCCTTTTGGGAATATGCATAGAATCACTTTTTAAGACGATCTATGCATGTTCGTCCGTCTGTCTTTCCATGTTAAATTGTGAACAAAGTACAGGTCGCATTTATGTTCCGAATTGGATGAAATTTGATACAGCTCATTTGTTTGGCCCAAGCACGAACCCTATTGATATTGGGAAAAATCGGTTCAGATTTAAATATAGTTCCCATATATATTTTCGTCCGATTTTATATAAATGGTGCACCAAAGGCCCTGTATATTCTTCGATTGGCATGAAAATTGACATGAATTTTGAATTGAGTCTAGAATAAAGTCCCTATATATATTTCAATTTGCATGAAATTTGGCATAGCGTAAGGAATTAGCTCTAGAATGATGTGTGTTAAGTTTTCTGAAAATCGGTCCAGATCTAGATATAGCTCCCATATACTTTTTCGTCCGATTTAATGTATATGGTGTACCAAAGTCCCTATATACCTTTCGATTTGCACGAAATTTGGCATAGCGTAAGGAATTAGCTCTAGAATGATGTGTGTTAAGTTTTCTGAAAATCGGTCCAGATCTAGATATAGCTCCCATATACTTTTTCGTCCGATTTAATGTATATGGTTACCAAACTATATACATAATGCACATGACTAGCATGATGTATGTTAAGTTTCCTGAAAATCGATCAAATCGGATTAGATTTTGATATAGCTTATATATAATTGATTCTCATAATTTTGTCCCTGGTCCTTTAAAAGTTCGACGGCTTTTAGGTTTCATCTGTTGGTTATACCGAAAGTGGTGAAGGGTATCATATAGTTGGCCCCGTCCGACTTTACTACTTTCCTTACTGTTTTTGTTTATTTTTTTTTTTTTTTTTTTTTTTTTTTTTTTTTTTTTTTTTTTTTTGTAAAGAATGAATGCTGTGATTTTTTTCTAAAAATAAACCAATATCCCTTGGGGTAAAATTGTTCATATCAATAATCAATAGACTAACAAAAACGAGACCAGCATTCGGCAGATGATAGTCCGGCATCCCAAGACGGCTTTTGTTTGTCTTACTCTTTAAAACCCGTCGGGTGAAATCTATGGACACCGCCAGTGAATAGACTAAGAAAAAAACGAGATAAGTTTTGGCAGAAAACAGTAAGTTATATAGAGAAACTCCTAGCTTAAAATATTTGAAGCATGTTTAAACTCGATTGTGCTATAGAATAGTCAAACAGGACTTGGGTTTAACACCATCACCTAAAAACTAAAGATATTCATAAGCAGATGCTTCAGGGTAATATGCAGAAAATTCTGATCGAACATCATAAATAATGTAGAGCTGTGAAACGTGTAATAAATCAGGAATAGGAAACAAAAACAATCACGTCGCATAGTGAATGTGCCTCCTAAAAGTATGCATCACACATTTTCTTTTTTTTTTTTTTTGAATATAAAATAACCATTCTACTTATAGGAAGATTTGGTTCTTTACGGAGGATTAGTGAGTTTTAATATTTAAAAAAATTTCACTTTCCCTAGTACATGCGAATACAACGCCTAAAAGTACGCATCACACATATCCGATGTATTCTAAAACTTGAATTGAATTTTAAATTTTAATAAAAACAACTTATAAATTTAAATAAATAAACTGTTAACGATTGCATGCAGTTAGCAAATTTAAAAGAAAATCTCAAAACTTGTTAGATACAATTTGGGAATATTTACAAGTTTTGGCTCAAAATTAAAAAAATACAAAAAATTATATAAAGACACACACTTCAGTAATAAAAAAATTAAATATATATATAATTACAGTGAACAAGTAGAGGTAAGAAGAAAAAGTAGGTGAAGAAGAAACATACCTAAAATGTACTACGTTGTATGTAGATGGAATTAAATTTTTGAGATTTTTATTTTGAAAATTTTCTAGCTAGGTTTTTACGATTTTTTGATTGTTTGTTTCTTTAGTTATATGCCAAAATATGTAGCTTATTTTGTTGTTTGGTGGTGGATGGTTTTTTGGTAGATTTTTTTTTTTCAACAAGGTGAGGAATATGGAATCATTACTGTTTTTTTTTTCATTTTCAAAAAATATATAAATAGGCGCTTTGGTTTTAATATCGCTATAAATTGATATATATGTAGGTATGTAAATAACTGGGTATGCATGTACAAATGTGTGTAACTTGAACAGTAACGCAATACTAAAGTTGTGTAAAAACGGGTGAATAATTTTTTTTTTTTGGTTTTGGGTTTCGGAATTCAAAACTACTTTTTGTGTGTTTTTGGTATATAAATATTTATATAAGTGTGTATAGGACTTCTTTGTCTTCTATTTGGATTAATCAATGCAAATAACTTTGGTGTGTATATTTTAATAATAATAATAATCATGAAAAATTTAACAATACTATATTCTTTCTCTAAATTATGCCATGTGTTTTTTGGTGAAAAAATGTTTGGTTGTTGGTTAGTGTATGAGTTTGGTGGCACTAGCGTGTTGTGTTATGTTCGATGTTGCATTAAAAAGGGGGCGAGGAATTTTTCTCTACTTTTTTGTTTGGTATTATTTTTTTTTGTTTTAAAACTTTAAATTAAGTGATTCAAGCGATGCTAGTGATGAGCGCCTAGATAAACCTGTATTGGCAGGACAACTGACCAGTGAGGTGGTGCCGAATAGTTTATACCAGCCAATCACAATGCCATTTGATAAATCGATTTGATCGAGCATTATTTGGGCAACGCCCATAAAGACTTTCTTTTCGATGCGGCCATAATCGCCCCAAACGGTAACCTGGAAACAAAATAAAATAGATATTAAATTATTTGAAAATAGAAGGGAAAACACAAAAAACGGCCTAAAAGTATGCATCACACATTGCGGAGAAAGAAGAAGAAGAACTCTATCGATAAATTGAAAAATCTTTGAGAGGTCTTCCATAGAAATAAGGTCAAATCATAATCTAAAAATAACAGCTTTAGAGGTGTACTAAAAATATAATTGAAATCCTAAGGCGCCTAAAAGTATGCATCACATCACAAATTGCGAAGAATGAATAATATTGCGGAGAAGCTCTTTAATAAGAACATAAACTACGTATCAAAGAGCTTACGGAAGTCTTCTATAAATATATAAGGCCTTTCAAGGTCCTATACGAACATTCGAAAACTTCAGATGCTATCGATAAATATAAATAAAATACTACTACTCCTAAAAGTATGCATCGCATCGAAAATTATGAAAAAAGGTGTTAAAAAGAACCCTACCTATTAATTAAAAATCTTTTGGATGCTTTCTATATAAATAAGGCGATATACGTATAAAAAATTTTTCAGAAGTCTTCGCTAAATAAAAAATTCCCACTAAGATGCCTAAACGTATGTATCACATCCCAAATTTTGCATTAAAAGCCTTTGATAGGAAATCTAACTATAAATTGAATATTATTCCGAAGACTTCAATATTAATAAGGCCTTTTTTGAGGTCTTCTACGAACAACAACATCATCAGAGGCATTTAAAGAAGTTAAGAACTTTCAGAACAAAATTAAACACCTAAAAGTATGCATCACACATTTCATAGAAGACATTTCATGTGGTCACTATCTATAAATTGACTTTTCTAAAGCTCTGCTGGAGCTTCTACCAATTGAAGATATTTCTCCCTTAAAAGGTCCTTCATGTATAGAAGGGTATTCTATACCTAGAGGTATTTCATATATAGAAGATCCTTCAGATGCCGTTAATATACATAAGTCCATTCTGAGGTATTTTAAACCCTTCGGAGATCCTTTATATACAGAATACCCTTCAGAGGTCTTTTATATATCTTTTATCTTTCATCCGCGAACTTTTTCATAGATCTTTTTATATGTAGAATACCCTTCAGAGGTCTTTTATATATCTTTTATCTTTCATCCGCGAACTTTTTCCACAGGTACATAATCACTATTACGAATAGACCTTGGAAATTTCATATTTATAGAAGATATATTCTAGCAGCAGATGTCATTTTCTGTTCTCTCCAGTCCATAGAAAGTAATTCTATCCACAGAGCACCTATTCTGTCCATATTAGAATCCTTCTGTCCACAGATGACTTCCTCTGCCCACTGAAGACTTCCTCTGTTCACAGGAGACCTCTTCTGTGCACAGAAAACCTATTCGTTTCACTCAAGACCTTTTCCAACCACCTCTTCTGTCCGTAGAAGATTTATTCTGTCCACAGAAGTCTCCTTCTGCCCACAGAAGACATCATCTGTCCTCAAAAGATCTCTACTGTCCTCAAAAGACCTCTTCTGTCCACAGAACACCCCTTCGTTCTACAGAAGACCTTTTCAGTCCATAGAAGATCTCCTTTCCCCAGAAGACCTCATCTGTCCCCAGATTTCTTCTTCTGTCCATAAAAGACTTCTTCTGTCCTCAAAAGATCTCTTCTGTCCTCAAGAGACATCTTCTGTCCTCAAGAGACCTCTTCTGTCCTCAGAAAACCCCTTCTGTCTACAGAAGAACTTTTCAGTCCATAAGATATCTCCTTTTATATATCTTTTATCTTTCATCCGCGAACTTTTTCCACAGGTACATAATCACTATTACGAATAGACCTTGGAAATTTCATATTTATAGAAGATATATTCTAGCAGCAGATGTCATTTTCTGTTCTCTCCAGTCCATAGAAAGTAATTCTATCCACAGAGCACCTATTCTGTCCATATTAGAATCCTTCTGTCCACAGATGACTTCCTCTGCCCACTGAAGACTTCCTCTGTTCACAGGAGACCTCTTCTGTGCACAGAAAACCTATTCGTTTCACTCAAGACCTTTTCCAACCACCTCTTCTGTCCGTAGAAGATTTATTCTGTCCACAGAAGTCTCCTTCTGCCCACAGAAGACATCATCTGTCCTCAAAAGATCTCTACTGTCCTCAAAAGACCTCATCGGTCCACAGAATACCCCTTCGTTCTACAGAAGACCTTTTCAGTCCATAAAATATCTCCTTTCCCCAGAAAACCTTTTCTGTCCCCAGAAAAGACTTCTTCTGTCCTCAAAAGATCTCTTCTGTCCTCAAAAGACATCTTCTGTCCTCAAGAGACCTCTTCTGTCCTCAGAAAACCCCTTCTGTCTACAGAAGAACTTTTCAGTCCATAAGATATCTCCTTTCCCCCAGAAAACCTCTTCTGTCCCGAGAATTCTTCTTCTGTCCATAAAAGACTTCTGTCCACAAAAGACCTCTTCTGTCTTCCAAAGATCTCTTCTGTCTTCCAAAGATCTCTTCTGTCTTCCAAAGATCTCTTCTGTCCTCAAGAGACCTCTTCTGTCCTCAGAAAATCCCTTCTATCTACAGAAGAACTTTTCAGTCCATAGAATATTTCTTCTGTCCACTGAAGACCTCTTCTGTCCACAGAAGACCTCTTCTATTCACGATAGACCTCATCTATTCACAGCAGACCACATCTGTGCCTTCTCTGTCCACCTTTTTCTATCCACAGAACACCTCTTCTGTCCACAGAAGACCTCTTCTATTCACGATAGACCTCATCTATTCACAGCAGACCTAATCTGTGCAATAAAGGCCTTTTCTGTTCACATAAGACCTTTTCTGTCCACAGAAGACCTGTTCTGTCAACAGAAGACCTCTTCTGTGCACAGAGGACCTTTTCTGTTCACATAAGACCTTTTCTGTCCACAGAAGACCTTTTTATATCCACAGAACGCCTCTTCTGTCCACAGAAGACCTCTTCTATTCACGATAGACCTCATCTATTCACAGCAGACCACATCTTTGCCTCTTCTGTCCACCTTTTTTCTATCCACAGAACACCTCTTCTGTCCACAGAAGACCTCTACTATTCACGATAGACCTCATCTATTCACAGCAGACCTAATCTGTGCAATGAAGGCCTTTTCTGTTCACATAAGACCTTTTCTGTCCACAGAAGACTTTTTCTATCCACAGAAGACCTCTCCTGTCCACAAAAGACCCTTTCTGTCCACAGAAGACTTTTTCTATCCACAGAAGAACTTTTCTATCCACAGAAGATCTTTTCTGTTCACAGACGACACAAAAGACCCCTTGACCACACCCTGACCTAGACTTCTTCTTTCAACAGAAGACCATTTATGTCGACAAAAAGAACTCTTCCGACCACAAAAGACCTTTACTATCCACAAAAGACCTCTTCTGACTACAGAAGACCTCTTCTGACTACAGAAGACCTCTTCTGACTACAGAAGACCTCTTCTGACTACAGAAGACCTCTTCTGACTACAGAAGACCTCATCTGACGACAGAAGACCTTTTCTGACCAAAGAAGATTTCTTCTGTCCACAAAAGAAGACATCTTCTGACCACAGAAGACCTCTTCTATCCACAGAAGACCTCTTCTATCCACAGAAGGTTTCTTCTGTCTTATATCCACAGAAGACCTCGTCTGTCCACAGAAGGTTTCTTCTGTATACAGAAGGTATTCGTTCGGTTCACAGAAGACCCCTTTTGTACACAGAAGACCAATTCAGTTCCCAAAAGACCTCTTCTGAGCACAGATGACCCTTTCGGTCCACAGAAGAAGACCTTAGAAGACCTCTATTGCCAAAAATGATCAATTTTAACCACAGGAGACAAGCAAGAATACCCCTCCTGATCTTCGAACAAAAACATTTTTGCCATTATCTTACTTGTAATATACAGCCTTTTGTATTGCAATTCTGGAACACCAATTGCTGTTGATACAATGGCTCCAACGTTCGCCGAGCCGTGGAAGTTTTCATTTTGTCCATGCATTTTTTACCCGATACCAAATAAACTTTGACATATGGGGCTGGTAACATTTTCGAGGTGGGTTTTTGCTAAAAAAACAAAATTATTAAAACTTCCAAAGGGGGGAAATCCAATTGCACCACCTACCTGCAAACCTCTGGCTCTGATCACCTCTACTTCTAGGCAATTTTTCTGATAGCACAGCGATAATTGGATATCGCCCAGCGAGGGAGCACCCAGCACCTGGCGTCCAACCAATTGGCCCGGTCCCAGACCTTCGACAAATTGATTGATTTGTTCATCAGCTCTCATGGTGGGTGAGAATCTAGAGATTTGGGAATTTTTTCGAAAATAATTTTATAAAAGAAAAAAATTTATTAGAATTTTATAAATTTTGTGTTCTTGTTTTAAACTCAAAAAAATAAATTATTTGGAAAGTTAAGAGAAAGTATTTTGAAATAAAATCAAGAAAAATAATACAAATTAATATTGAAACTCAGTTAATATATATGTATGTAAAACTTTGTATTATACACAGGGAGATATAGTAGGCAGTTGTTTAAGTTAAGATTTTTTTTTTGGATTTGAAAAAAATATATATTTATCTATTTTTTGACATTAGTCCATTTTTTTGATGCATTAACGTGCATTTAATTTATTCCATTGTTGCATAGTGTAAAGTTGGTTGTTCTTGTTTTTTTTACGATTTTTTTACAACATGCTTTGTATGGAGTTGCATATTTACAATCAGGCCTTTTTACACCACAAATAGAAGAGAAAACATTGTCGTAGCAATCAAGGCTTTAAAGAGAAATATTCGAACACACACTTAGTAGTTACACCCTAGAAAAATAGTTCGTTCAAGTATGTAATTGATTTGTAATGACAAATGTATGAGACGTTGGGTTTAAAAACAAGAATAATATAAAAAAATATTTTAGAAGAAAAAAATGCTTATGAGATGGTAATTTAATATGAGAGGTAAACAATTTAAATTAATATATCGCAAGAAATTCCGTTGGTTCCTGGAATGTAATCCCATCGGATGAGAAAAATTGGTTTTCAAATTTTTGTAAAAAAGAGGTCTGCCGAAGACCCACTGACATGACAAATATCAGCACTAAGGAAGCAAGGACCACAACCATTGCTCAATACTAAAGGAGAAGTATTTTCCAGCCAACGATAGATGACAGTATCACCACCTACAGCAGGAATAAAACCAATCGAATAAGAAGGCATTGTTTTGTTGAAGCCCTTTGCTCACAGGAGGAGTAACAGACAAAAATGAATTTACGGAAGCATTTTTAACTCTATATATATATATATATATATATATATAATAAAAAAAAATTAATTTTGTATATATACTTCAGGAACATATAATTAAAAAACTAATTAATTTGATCACATGAAGATAACACAATTGCTATAAGATACCCTTCACCACGTTGGGTATATCCAACGATTGAATCCTAACGGACGTCAAATTTTTGAAGGACCAGGGACAAAATTATGTGAAGCATTTATATCCAACTTCTAGGTTATTCTAACTCCAGTACGTTGTACAATATTTGTGTCAATTTTGTGTAAAATTGGACGACACAGTTTACATTAAATCGGACGAAAATATATATGGGAGCTATATCTAAATCTCGACCGATTTTCACGAAACTTAACACATCATTCTAGACCTAATTCATTACACTATGCCAAATTTCATGAAAATCGAAAGATATATAGGGACTTTGGTACACCATTTACATTAAATCAGACGAAAATACATATGGGAGCTATATCTAAATCTGGACTTATTTTCACGAAACTTAGCACATATCATTCTGGACTTCATTCAGAACTCTATGCCGAATTTCATGCGAATCGAATGATATAGGGACTTTGGCGCACCAGTTACTTAAAATCGGACGAATCTATATATGGGAGCTATATCTAAATCTGAACCGATTTTCTCGAAACTTGCCGCGTATCATTCTGCACCTAATTCAGTACTCTGTGCCAAGTTTCGTGCAAATCGAGAGATATAGAGGTACTTTGGTGCCCCATTTACCTTAAATCGGACTAAAATATATATTGGAGCTATATCTAAATCTGAACCGATTTTAATAGAGTTCGTCCTTGGGTCAAATAAGAGACTTGTGCCAAATTTCATCTAAATTGGATCATAAATGCGACCTGTACTTTGTTTACAATTTAACATGTACAGACGGACGGACGGTCATGCGTAAATCGACTCAGAACGTGATTCTATGCATATTCTCAAAAGGTACCATGTGTCTATCTCGTTTCCTTTTGCCTGTTACAAACATATGCACAAAGACATAATACCCTGTACCACAGTGTGGTGAAGGGTATAAATATCGAAACTTCAAGGTACCGTTACCTGGGGCTATAACAAAACGTGGACTGAATTTTGATATTTTTTGGCAAGAAAATTTACTAGCCAATGAGAACTGTAACAAATTAGAATCAGTTCGGTTGGAAAAAGTATCCAAAATTCAAAATAATGTATCCAAAATACAAATACCGTTAAATGGAAGTTACCTTCAAGCTTGGGTAAATATTTGTGGTAGGGTCAGGGTCCAAAATATAAATGGCAGCTAATTTTGTTGAAGAATGTCGGGAATGCTGAAATTGGCGAGGTGCCGTTATAATGGGATGTATATAAAATTACAAAGCTCTATTTCGAATATATTGATCGCTATCGCGATTTAAGTAGACAGCCACGATCGAGAATATATATTGTATGATACTTTATTTCACCTTGAAGCCAGAATAATTTATTTCAAGAAATTTGGTTTCGAACTTCAAATTATGGATCTTTTTAAAAATATTCCTAGTCGGAGAGAAAAAAAAAGAGTTATTAGAAACGATATTTTATATAGAACCTATAGAAACCTTATATAAGTGAAATTGCACATCGTTATATAGGACATAATCAAATGAAGGTTTTTTTTTAATCGTGACATCTGTAGGAACATCTGAAGATAGAAGACCGCATGTGGCTTTTCTGTAGATATAATACATAATGGGGGTCTTCTAAAGATAGAATACCTCCTGTGGGTATTCTAATGACAGCAGACCTTCTGTAGGTTTTCTAAAGATAGTAGAACTTTTGGGGGTCTTCTATAGATAAACGACTTCCTATAGGGTTTCTTCAATATTTAATATATTAAAATTATATATTCATTTTTATGGTAATGAAAATCGGGTGATTGGTAATGCAGTGATAAATAAAAAATATGTTAAAATTCATACGATGTTATGTTATGTACAGATGACATTAGGGTGACACGAACATGTTTTTTTTATTTTCAAATAAAAAAATAAAAAATATATTAAACTAAAATCAAACAATTGTTCTACAAAAATAAAAAAATAAATTATAAGTTACAAAATATAGAAATAAAAAAAATCAAATACATCATTTTCATTCATTACAGAGTTGTATGGAAACAAAATTAAAACCAGAGTTGTATTTGTAGGATTTTGTGGAAAGCAATTAATTACGCACACACACACACAACAACAACAATAGATGATAAGCAAACAATTTCGAAAATTCGAATATACAGTTTCGAAAAAGAAAACCAAAAACACATTTAGAGAGCAAAATTTAGAAGAAGTCACAAATGGATAGAGAGAGAAAGAGGGAGAGAGAGAAAAAATAAATAGCTAAAAAATCAAGAGGATTCCTAATGAGAAAAATACAGGTCCAGGCTTGCACACAATTTATAAAAAAATAAATAAAATAATATTTTTTTAATATTTTTTTTATAAAATTTTAATATCTGGCATAAATATACAAAAGTGGACACTTAATTACAGCCAACTTCACTTGGTAGGTTTGGTTTATGTTACACAGACACGCACACACATATATCGTTTATTGGCAAGTCAAATGTTTTTGTAGCATCTTTCAGGAGAACAACAACATTGACAGACAGTAGTGATATTTAGAGAATAATTTAGATAGAGAGAGAGGAGAGATAGCAGTAAATAATGTTAGCAAATAGAGAGGCAGTAAAAGTGGAAAAGAGCAAGAACATAAGCTCTCTGCTTAAGAGGATTTCTTTTTTGGTGATTTAGCATTTTTGTTGTTGTTTTTTTTCATGGAGCAAAACTTACGATGAACCTTCTGAGCTTGAGATCGAATGTATACTACCGGCGCGATATTGCATTACAGATGATGATGGCGGCACCTCAACCGATCTTTGTATACTACCAGCCGAACCACGCGACTGACGCTGATAATGAAGTGGATGCAGTTGATGATAATGATGTTGTTGTTGTTGTGGCTGTTGATGTGAAGAGGTGGCTGTGACGGTGTTCGTAGTTGAGGTGGTGTTGTTATTGTTGGTTGTGGTGGTGCTACAATCACGTGCCTGATTTTTGTCTGTTTTTTTTTTTTTTTGAACAGTAAAAAATGAAATATAAAAAAAGAAGAGCAACAACGAAAAAATGGTATAAAAGAAAAAACACACAATAAGGCGATTTTGTTTTCTCGATAAATTATGCTGAAACGTATATATTGAACGGAGGTTGGGAGAGGTTCCCCGTTTTTTTTTTTTTTTTTTTTTTTGTAGAGAAAAAATTTTCAAGTAGAACACGATTTGTTTGGATGTAGAAGAATGTAGAAAATACCACCTGTATGACTTGTCTATGAAGAAGACTTCCAATTGATCTTCTGTAGAAAAACAAAAATACCTCCTAAAGATCTGCTCTAAGACTTCTATACAAAATAACTACATGTATTTCTCCCGACATAGAAGACTTTCTGAAGGTCTTGTATAGAATTGGAAGATTTCCTGAAGGTCTTGTATATAGTTGGAAGACTTCCTGAATGTCTTCTATAGATAGAAAATGGGCTTCTTCTAGATAGAAGACATCCTGAAGGTAGACCTGCTGATGGTATGTAGATGAAAAGCCTCCTGTAGGTCTTATTTCTTTTCTCCTAATTTAAAGCTTCTTGAAGGTCTTCCATATGTAAAAGACCGCCTGAAGGTGTTCAGTAGATAGAAGACTCCTATGGTTCTTCTATAGATATTACCTAGGGGTATTCTATAAAAAGAAGACCAAACAGACATTGAAGTTCGCATATAGGTATCAATGCATAGAGTAAATCCAACAGGTCTTTTGTAGTTAGAAGATAGAAAGAATAGCTTGAAGGCCTTCAATATATAGGATACCTTATGAGGGTCTTCGATCTTATCCATATAGGCTTATAGAAAGAAGAACTCCTATAAATCTTCTCTATAGACCTGATGCGGGTCTTCTGTGGATACAAAACCCTTCAGTAGGTCTTCTGTA